CCCGCAGCTCGGACTCACTTTTCATCCTGTGCCCTTCGACAAAGCTGCCATGTTGATTGGGTACGGTGACTCGTCATGGGCAAACGCCCCAGGAGGCCGAAGTCAGATGGGAAGCTTGGTGCTTTTTGCCTCTCCAAGCAGCCTTGAGCGCAAGGCCTATGTGTCCATTTTGGACTGGAAGTCAGCCAGGTCACCAAGAGTGACCAGATCCACCCTGGCATCCGAAGCAAATGCCATGGATGAGACTGTGGACCGTTGCACCTTTTGCAACCACTACCTCACGGAGTTGCTCTACCGTGGTTCTCCTCAAGCCGCACGAGATTGCGGAAGAGCTCTTCGGCAGTTGCAATGCACTGATTGCAAAAGCCTCTACGATGCAGTCATCTCCTCGAACCCATCGACCACAGAGAAACAAACAATGATCGCCATAAGATCAGCGCAGGACTACATCGAAGAGGACAACTGCAGGTGGGTTCCCACAGATGTCATGTGGGCTGACTGTTTGACCAAAAAGGACAAGCAATTGTGCCTCAGCTTCCAAGACTGGCTCCGCCACCCTTTTGTCATGCTGGTGGAGGAAAGAGAAAAATATCAGTGTGAGTTTTTCACTGTTAGCTCTGAAGACCATGTTTGTGCTTTTGCCACCCGGCTGCACGATTCCTCCACCACATGTCGGTCCAAGCGGGCCCCTTGAGTTTGTTTCCCTTCGATCCTGACGGATCGTGACACCCCATGGCAAAGACCGAAGCTCGGTCATAGAGGAAAAGCCGGTGAGCCACCGCTTCGTTTCGTTTGCAGCTTGAGCGCACTCCACTTCACGAGAGATAGAACTGTCTGAAATTGGAGGACCTGATTTCGGGCGGAAAAGTATCGTCGAACTGGACTTCAAGGGGTGTCTTCTTCGTTTAGGAAGCGCCAGGGCAAGATTCAGCGTTCCGGACAGAGAATAAGAACGGTTTGCCTCGATTCTCCCAGTCAGAGGTGGTCTTCTCAAGTAACAAGTGCATTACTTCTAGAAACAAGAAGATACTAGTAGCTTCTTGCTACTAGTAGTAAGGCACCTTGTTACTAGCATTGTTACTGCCAAAACTGCTGAAGCGTCTTCCCTTGCACCACCCGAATTGTCTGGGACTGTTTGCTACACCCGATAGACTCGGTAGACCATTCCCCGGAAGTCCCGCAACACCCACAAAAAGCCACCTGGTTTGTTTTCTCCACATCCTGGTGGAGCTGGGCTGCCCGATTTTTTGCTCCTTCTGCTCTTGTCGAGGCTGTTAGTGTGTTGAAGAGAGCTCACAGGGTCCCGAAAGTCGATTCAACTGGCAGCTATCTTTGAGTTTGGAGGGGGCCTTTGGAGGCAGGCATGTATGATCTGTGGGATGCTCGACCGCCTAAGTGTACACGTATGCCCGTTCTGGCTGGTCCAGATACAGTGCAATCTTTGCTTTGGAATGACGTGTTATTATCTGGATTGCTCGTGACTTTGGATCAGGATGTCATCTTCAGTCGGGGAAAAGGAGTCTTAGGAACACTCGCTGAGACGGGAAGTGACATGAGGTTCTTCGTTTTGCCAGCACCGAAGATGAAATCAGAAGAAATGTGCTATAAGCGGATTAGTGGGGTCAGGAAAGAGGATGATGAAGAGACCGAGACCGAGGGCAATCTTGACTATGTGGGAGATCCGGCAGATTTGATCCCGTCAAAAACAAGTCGATGTCTTAAGGGTATCCCTTTCGCAGTCATTCTTCGAAATTGTGAATTGCGGGGTATGATCTTAGCTCAGCCTTAGCTCATGAAACTGAGTGGCGCGACAAAATGGTGGGTGCCAGTACTTTGTCCTCCATGATCATCAACCGCCACCAGGAGTTGTGGCCCACGAAGGCCGCGGTATTTTGTACGAGTTTGGGACGAATGTGACCTTCGATATTGAAGGCAGGGCGGTCGATTTTGAAGCGTTGCGCAGAGGAAGTTCAATTGGCACTGAATGATGTTCCGATTGATGAATTAAACCGGCGCTGGCACTCGGACGGCAGTCATTTAATTGGCATTATCCTTTGCACTTGTGAGCGCAGGGCGTTCTTGGGCCCCAAGGGTTATTCCGAAGAAGGAGGTATGTGGTCGCGATCCTATTGTCAGAGCTTTGCTGAAGAATGGTACTTTAGAGTTCAGAAGTGAGAAGCCTGATGTCGAAGATTGGTTAGCTCAGTTGGATCAACGATTTCCGGAGGTCGAGGCTCAAGTTCCAATCTACGAAAACGCTGAGGAAAATGATAACCTTCACGCCTACTTCGATGTTGGGCGCGCGAGAAGGGTTTTCATGTTCGCGTTGAAGGCAGATCCTTTTGTAGTTGGTTTCCCTCCTGATGAGTTGATCAAAAGTGTTTGTGGGATCGAAAGAGTTATTGATACCACTGATGATTCGTGCAAGAATCTCTACTTCAGTGGTCTGACTATGTCTGACAGCAATTTGGAAAAGTTGTGGGCGACCTTTGTTACCTTCGAGCCTGCCATTCCGTCTGTGTCCTTGTGGGGCAGGTGTGACTACCACTTGCACTATGTGTCAAAGTGGGATATGTGCTCCACGTCATGCTGCGATTAATAGACCGTGCTTATCTTGCTTTGCGAGGGACCTTGGTAGCCCAGGCGCTGGACGGTTTGCAAGTTGGACGCTGGGTTCATGTAGTGCGGTTGACTCTCCTGATGGCAAAATGATTCTTTGTCATTGGGTCGACTCAAGGGACCATGCTGTATGAGGATCATCTCTTTCAGTGTCCACTTGCTGTAGCTTGAGCTGCAGGAAAGGCTAAGGAAGACTTGGCAAAGTTTGCAGGAGTCGTAGAGTTGCAAGCTGGCGATTTCGAAAGACTTGATTTGACTATCGCTACGGAAGTTGCTGCAAGCATGATGTCTCGTCTGCCGTTTAAGAGCTGGGTGAATCGGACGAAGGGATGGGTTTAGCGGTTGCAGGTTCGTCAGAGATTGGCCATTTGCGAGATGGTTGGGCAGAATGCGGTTGGCAACATCATTTAAGAGCCTCGTGCCCCTACTCCAAACTTGTTCAACACTCTGATGAGCCTAAGAACTCTGAACTGGATGACTTAGTGTCTGTTGATCACTCTGAGGTAAGTGTCAAGCCATTCACAACATCATTTGTGCCGAATAGCTTGACTGATGCAATGAATGCGTCGACCTTTGAGGAAAGGCAGATTTCATGCTGCTTACAGTCACTATGCTAAAGGCTTCCTGTAACCTGAGCAGCAAGCGCTTGCTTGGTGGAATAGTCCTGCGCCGTAGTTCACCGGCAACTCTTGTAGGAGACACTGATGCAGCGATGCTTCCAAGCGCCAGCCACTCGTAGTACCGCAGGTGTTGGCGGGTAAATCTCCATGGTGAAATAGCTAGTGATTGATCACGGAGGTGAGTCACTATAGGTCCTTTCCAAGAGCGGTTGCGATGCCGGTGACAGCTGGTAAATAGCTATATCAAGCGTGATAGATAGTTATCCATGATGATTTTGCACCTTAAGGCTTGCGCGTTTTACGTTGGAGCTGCGGATCTTTATTGTCGCTGAGGTTGGACGGAGCGTGTGTTGCTCCTATTCGCAGCTGCCTCGGGACGTGCCGGCATGTAGGCGCTATGACGGGGCATGCTCAAATGGACAGGTTGCGGAGAACTGGTGGTGGGCAGAGAGGTGCACAGGTGATCCTGAATGAGGTAGACGAAATGCAAGCTCATATCTCTGTCAACCTTGTGTAGTTGTCCTTTCCGTGCGGTGATATGCTGATATGCTGATCGCGCAGGACGCTGATTGGCTCCGAGAGAGGGACTGGTTGGATTTTGTAGTGTAGATAGGCATGGCATCCTTGACGTGTAGACTGACTGAAGCTCTGGGCGGCAATGATCATGAAGCAGCTCGTGCCGTGGTAGTGGGCTGCTTGAAGACGTGTCCAGAAGAGGCTATATACAAGATTCGGGCCAGTTCGAGGAGAACGATTTTCGTGCGTTTGCGCGAACAGAAGTACTTGACTGCAATGCTGACAGATCTTGGCGCAGGCACGGGGCTGTCTGAACAAGACCACGCTGCCAAGGCGGGGTTGTATTTGCCCAGTGCGTTGGCACGATATTTGCCATGATGACATTTACCATAGCCGCGTGCCTTTTTGCCGTTGTGGCAGACGCTCACACGACCTCCTTGTTGGAATTGAAGCACTCCGTAGGCCCTATCCGTCAATATGGCGCTTGCCGCTTGACAATTCTCCAGTACTTTCTGAGGTTTTCATGCTGCCAAAATGCGCGTGTCCAACAAGGACACTACGGTGGAGTCTTCGCAAAGCCTACGGACTTGTTGGTTGTGCATGGAGGAAGCCAAGTGAAGGAACTCCTGCTTACACAAAGGACTACAGAGAGGCCGAATTGGCCGTGACAATTCAGGGCAATGGAAGACTGCGGTACTTAAACAGTATCCAGGACCTTTCTGTAAGGCCCTTTCCAAAATGGCCAGGTCGACTGCAACTGTATAGAATCAGTCCCTCTCGATTTCTTGGAGGCTGTTCATAAGCTGTTTTCCTGCTTTGATTTTGACACAGAGATGGAACCTGATTTTTGTGCAGGCGTGGCCGAGGAGACTTGGAATGTTCCCCCTGTTTAATTCGTAATTCGGTGCACTGGCGTGTCACAAGCTACGCTTTCGAAGTCCGCAAGTAAACTGGGGGTGGTGTTTTTTCTTGGCTCCGTTGGTGGGTTGGTGAGAAGGAAGACGAAAATTCCTTTGCATTTTGGGGTGGGAGGTTGCTGCTCAATACTTAGTGCCAGGTTTCGGCCTCTTGGCTGGCTTTGCAGGTGAAAAGGCATCAATTCGGTAACGGAGATCCAGATATGATCAGAATACAGGATCATTGGGGGCATGTATGCCAGTGTTTGGGATAGGCTTCCTCATTGCTTTACGCCGCTGTGAATAACAAAGCGAACGTGCTGTCCGCCGTGTCTCCACGTCTCTTCAGGCAAGCTGGTGGAACGCGTCGACATCGACATGCCTGTGGGTGGTTTTCATCATGATATGTGCATCACAGAGCGCCTTGGCATGACGTCCGCAGAGGGGTCCCCAAATGGTCTGGAGGAGCTTGAAAAAGATCGAAGGGATTTACAGGTGTTTGTTCATGTGTTTGTGAAGAAAATTGCTGGTGAGGTTGTTCACATGATCACATATCCAAAACACCATCATTGAACCGGTTCGACCCCGTGGCGACACCCGCGGCATTGACATCATCCACTGGACAAGGGTCACCATGGGCATAACAGAACTACAAAGATGGGTTGTTTCTTGGGCAAAAAACGGTTCAATCCACAACCGCTTTTGGTTGAGCAGCTCTTTGTGGCATGCCCACATATGTGTGAGCCAGCTGCTAGCCAGCGAAAATGAAGCAAGCAGCAACACATCAACAAGCTGTCGCCCGTTCTGTTTGGATGTTGGAAGGTTGTTGTGCTGAGATGACAATTCAACTGCGCGAACATGTCCTGTCAAACAGAAGGTCTTCCGTACAAAATATTTCTAGGGCGGATTGTTTCAGCCTTCCTTTTCCCCCCGGCTGCACTGAACATGCACTGCAGCCGCAGTAAAAACTTGGACCTGCTTCGTGGCTGAAGCTCTGGACCTTGCAGTTGGTATTTCGGCCGCTCCGGCCTCAATGGTACCAGCACACAAAAGGGACGTTTGGTCCTGGTCCTGCCCCAAAAGAGCCCAGATGCTCCGTGAAAAACCAACCCAACCGGTTCCCAAAGCAAAGGGTTCTCCTCCCAAACCGGATTCCGGGCCGATGACTTGAAGAGGCTGAAGTCCGAAGTCCGCTGTTATTATGCTAAGATGTGTTTCACTAAGAAACCAGTTCGTTCCCACTTGAACTTTCATATATTTAAGGGAAATTTCTTGACCGCCCTCCTGGAAACCCAGTCCCAACCAGAAACAATTGCATGGAACTCCCCAGTCCCAGCCACTTCCTGAAGGATCTTAACTGCCAAAAGATAGATTCAACCAGAACTGTTTCTGGTTGGTTGTTTGGGTGTCCACCCTTTTCCCTCACTCAGTTTCACCGGATTGCACCAGGTTTCGACCTTTCTCGGGTGGTTCCTCGCGTTCCGGACGTTCTTGTGGGGCCGTCACACCACAGGAATTACATGGTGATGATCGACGGTGCCATGGCCTTCACACCACAGGAGCCAGACGTGGAGACGTGGAGACGGCGAACTGACCGACGGCTCGGTGTGGTGCCAAAACGGCCGGGTGAACCCGGCCATCTGGTCGCACCTATGGACTTCTTCCTGCCCAAAACTCTGGTTTTGCATCTGTGAACTCTTGTAGGCTTCCAACAAGCATTGTTTTGGTCTTTACCAAAGAACCATTGTTTACTAAAGGATTTTGCACTACAACTCACCAGGTCAACCATGTTTTAAATGGTCTTGGAAGGCGAGGGCAATGCTTTTTCTTTTTGCTCCATTGGGACCCAAGCGTGCTTCGCTTGACTTCACCTGCCGACGCGCGAGGAAGCCATCAAGGGCAAACAGCTTTGGACCTTCCAAGAGGATTTCGCGATCCGTCGGGGCGAAGAGAGGGGAGTTTGTTGCACCAGAGAAAGACCAGAGAAGACTTGAGGGAAGACGGGCTCTTCTCTCCAACTATAAGTCATCTACAGCAGGACCCTCCTTGGCCAGGCTGTTTTGGGCCCCGGGCACCTGTCACCAGGAAACACCTGTGAAGTCGGGTGCTGGTAGCAATCTGTTATCATCTATAGCTTAAGGTTCTGAAGCCGGAGAAGAGCTGCCGGGTTTGCGCCATTACTTCGAGCAAACTTCAAAGGCGCAAGATAGAAAACCGTCTCAAAAGAACATCTAGGACGTTCAAGATGCACATGCATGTATGGTTCTTCTCCACAAAACGCTCCAGCTGGTTTGCTTCGATAGACCAGGAGACACCAAGCCAGTTGAAGAAACGACACATCACTCGGCAATGTCCCTAGTCAAGTTGTCCATGATGTTCTTAATCAACAGTACCAGAAAAACAAGACTTGAAAGTGGTTTCCTGGGAGTTTGGGAGGATACCAAAAGAGTTGCTTCACTTCGCAAGCTTGGAAAGCATCCGCGTCCCCAAAATGTTCCGATGATGAGCACCGCTGAATAGACTTGGTCCGCCTTCCGTTCGACCATTAAAAGGGTTTGGTTGACCTGGTTTTGTCGTCTAGATTCCTTAGTAAAAACAATGTTGGGCTGGCAAAACCCATTGAATACTAGTGTGTCACTGCCTCCACGACCGCAGCCATCTCCATTAAAAGCCACTGGTTGGAATCGTGGGAGACCTGCCTCTTCCGTTCAGAACCGGACACCGGAGCTTTGGATACCCCGGGCGACACCGGGCCGTTGCCTCGTGATGGGATGAGTGGGTGGTCCTCGTTTTCCGTGCTCTCCGGATGTGGCCGGTGGACGTGGTTTGAAGCCTTGGTTTGGACGCGAATTTCGGTCTTCCATGGGGCCATGTGGAAAACTTCCATTTCTACTTCCACAAACCAAGCTGCCAGGGAGAGTACGTTGGAAAGACCTTTTTTCATGGGGGGATCGTCAAGGAATTCCACCTACTCAGTCGGAATGGGCTTCCCCACTAAATAGGAACCGATCTTGATGTGGATTACTGCATGTGATGAATTCGGTGCATCTCGGAATTGTGCCAGACGAACCCGTTGAACCTTCACGGACGTCCGAACCCGTGTCGATGTCGTGATGCTGGAGAGGTCGGAACGGATGGGTTTCCGCCCACTGAGGGAGTCAGTCGGGGGCCCATCCTACACCAGTCAGCTCGCTATCGTCCATGTGGAAGGTCTTCCGGTCTTCCATGTCTTCCTTCAACGAATTACTATGGACCACATGGAGGAACCAATGCGATGTCCTCCAACCCAAGAGCCCAGACAAAGGAATTGGTATTGTTACTAGATCGTGTCCATGAAATCCAAACTCCTAGCCTTCCTGGCCCAACATTGATTTCATAGCCCAAATATTCCCAACAACCACTGTTTAACTAAGCATTTCGTTGAAGGGTCTCGGCGACGGCCGGGCCCACGGTTTCCGGCCACCTCGTCACTCGCTTCGAGGACAAGAAGCTCCGCTTCGGCATTTTTCATCGATCCAAGAAGCTCACACAAGAGCCTGACACTGATTGGGTGGGCGCGTAGTAGGTTTGGAGGCCATCGCTAGTAATAACAAGAAAGCTACGCACGGTGGAGGCCATCGTGATCGGGTGGGCGCGTATTTGGTCATAGGGAGGCCAGGAAGACCCAGGATGGCTTTGGGCCTGTTGTACTCGAAACCAAGGGAGGGTGAAGACAGAAAAGCGGGTGAACTCCGTTTCATAGGGAGACCTCCCAGCTTACCGATCCAAGACAGAACTTTTGAACCTTAACCTGGAACCCCAGTCCCAACCGGAAAGAAATGGATGTTTCCCCCAGTCCCTAGGGATTTCAATTGCCATATTGGCACAACCATTTTTTTCTGGTTGTTTGGGGAAATGTGTGTTTCTGTGTACCCCATTCTACCACTCGAATTTTGCGCTTAGACACAGAACACGAGTCACGAAAGGCAGTCTTCAGACTACCTCATTCTTCTTGCTTTAGCAAAATTTGTATTCGTTTGGGCAGCTGGTGATTCGCCATGAATTTGAGGCCCCTCCTGAATCAAATCCCCTGCTGCTGCTGTTGCTGCTGCTGCTCTTGCTCTTGCAGCTGCTGCTGCGCTGGTCTTGTTTCTTCCTCCTGTTCTTGCTGCTGCTCTTCCTGTTGCAGGCGGAAGTCACCTGCCTCCTGAATGGACCACCGCAAGAATCCCCGCGCAAGCACGGGTGATTTGGCGCAATGTCGGTGGCGACAAGGCGAGCATCTGCCAGCATGTCCCCAGCCCCTGCCATCTTGCCTGCTTCCTCTGGCTCGCTACCACGGGACTTGGAAGGAGTACGTTGAAGGCCAGCGGATGTCCTGAGAGAAGCGGGCCTGGACCGCCGAAGTCGGATAAGCTGCCGAAGAGATGAGGACCACAAGTGGCGCAGACATCGCGCAGCTGGATGGCTGGAGCCCTTCGTTGGAGTTTGGTGCCTGGGTGCCCCGCTTCTTTGAAGCGAGGCTGGACGGCCACAAGGCCATGAAGTCCGCCTTGGCATGAAGTCCGCCATGAAGTCTTCGAAGTCACTCTGTCTGTGGTCCTCGTGTTTTCGTTGTTGTTGGTACTCTTCTTGTTCTTGTCGTTCTTCTTCTTCTTCTTCTTCTTCTTCTTCTTCTTCTGGTGGTGGTGGTGTGATGTTTGTTTACTCCGGTTAGTAGGTGGCAGTGGAAGTAGTGGTGCTAGTGGCACAGGTAGATGTAACTGTGTGTAACGGTGCCGAACGGTGACAGTTTTTGTCATTGCGTGCCTTCCCTCAAGCTGCTGGTGGAGAGGAGGAGGGCATCCTCCCCATGGAACCCCTTCATGGCACCACCGTTCTAAACAAGTTTGATTTGATTCGAACCATCCCACCCCCCAAGAAAAACATCTGAAGTGTCTATTCCCTTGGGATTTTGAACCTGTAAGCCAGTTCGATCCTGCGGAAGAAAGGAGAAGAAAAGCTTAGGGTTTCCCGTTTCCCTATTAAAATCCACACCCTGTTCTTCTGAGTTTCTACGAAATTCCGTCTTTTGGTGGTGTGTTCAAAAACTCGTCAAGTGACGCTTTGACGCTTTGACCCTCACCGAAAGACAAAGGCAAAGCCGTGCATTGTCGGCAGGGGCATCAATTTAGTTGGTGTTCAATACACCGCACATAATCCCAGTGTCCCAAAAGAAGAAGATACCAATGTACCAGAATATACTGGGTCCTTTTGAAAGAAAGTGCATCCATGTCTGAAGTATGCCTCGGAAGTCCTTTGTGCACTGTGTTGGTCCTCCCGGAGCACTTTTACTTGGACCTCATGACCTTCAACGCAGTTCCTTATAGCGACCCTTTGCAAAAGTTCTTTGCCGCGACCCTTGCCGCGACCCTTCGGAGTGTTTTAGACATGTATCTTCTTGTTCAAAGGCTCCAAACCTCTGCGACCCTTGCGATGCACCATCACCCACACAGGCCGTGCCTCCCCATCGCTCACGCTCCGCTGTTCCGACGTGGCACCTGTCTCGCTGTCTCGTCTGAGGATGCCTTGGTCTGGATTGAAGCAGATGTGGCAGCTGAGACCTTTGGCCGAAGCGGTGAGACACCTGGGGTTTACCGGCATCGCCGACTTCGGGGTTTTGGCCCCCGAAGTCGTCGGTCGAGCTGTTGGGGCTTGGTGTCCAAGCGTTGTGCTCGTAAAATGAGGGTGTAAAGCTGTTCATCTCCCCTTCCCTCCCCGTGGTAAAGACACCGACACCCCAAGTCCTGGAGCGATCTGGACGACTCGAGGTGACCCCAAGACGTCCTCCTTCTGTAAGGCACCAACGATCCAGACCTTCCTCTTACCGATCCAGAAGGAAACATGAATGCAGCCATTCATGGAATGTCCTGAATATTCAAGGAATACCATATTTCATGCCCTTACGATCCATCATTTTTTGATCATTCCCCCAGAATGTCCTTTGAACTAGTGTGAGGCTCATTGGTCGGCCTCATAGTCCCCATGCTGTTGGCTGGAGAAGATCCAGGTCACTCGTGACGTCGACCTTCGACGAGCGAGGTTGTTCTTTTCTTTTTCTCCGGGCAGGTCGCAAGCCCCACGGAACGTCGAAAAGAAACCTCTCCTGAAAGTCACCTCTCTTGGAAGTCCTCGTGGATCGACGTCTCCCAGGAAAAAATAATGCAGCAAAAGAAGAGCGCGGTTCAAAACCTCGGTCTTTTGAGGAAAGGGGGGTGCCCTACGCCCGACGCACATACCAGGTATCAACCAGCAGCCAAGGTTTAAAAAAACAACCTTTAAATCAATGGTTTGGATGCCTAGGGGGGGTACGTTGGTCTTTTTGAGGCGAACTGAAGAGTATCTTCAGTCTTCGGTCTTCAAAGAGACACCCACGGCGCGGGTCGTGCGGGCATCGCTTAGAACCATGACGAAGTCGCATGAAGAGGTGGGGACGAAGTCTGGGGCGGGAGAGTCTGGAAAAAGGCCTGTCTCCATCCAACCCTCCACAAGGTCCAGTCAGTCAGGTCTGAAACAGGGGTGATGGGTGCGACCTCCCGTCGCCCACCGGCTTTACGCGGCGGCGTCCCGGACCTGCCGTGGCCTCGTCGGACCCGCGGCCGAGGATTGTTCACACGTGCTACGCCTACGACGAAGGGGACGAGATCGTTTTGTGGACACCCTTGTGCTATTACAATGCCACTGGGTTGCTGGATGTGGAGCGAAAATGCTGAGGGTGCTTTTCTCACAAGCACCCTCACTGCCCAGGGCTTTTGACATGGAGTACCTGTAGAGTCGGGTTCCGGAAGGGGAAGTTCACACAGTAATCATTTGCGTGGTCCCCGAACAGCACTGGCTTCAGCTGCTCGAGACTTCGAACGGTGCGGCTCCACGCTACTTCGAACGGTTCCGAGTAGAACGTGGGAACGAGCCAGGAAGGGTCAGTAGGACATGTCATGATGTGTCATGCATCGACCCAGGCTGTCCAAGTCCTTGCAATGTCAGGCTGACCACCGACGCGAGGTGTGGCAACAGAAAAAAGAAGCTCAGACGAGAAAGAGGCAAATAACGAGCAAAAAAAAGCCGAAGGAAATGACCACCCTGGCATTCCATGAACCATTGCTGTCATGGTCTTTGCCAAAGAACCATTGTTTTACCAAGAATTGTTTTATGCTACAAAACCAGCTTAAACATGCTGTCATTGAAGGCTAGAGGCCAGTAAAACAGCATTGTATCTCAACAAAAGTCTCTGAGAAACCCGTGGGGCGTAGTCCTGGTAGTGGCGTCTCCAAGAGTTCGCAAAACTCTTTGTAACTTGAGAGTCTGACGGTCTGACACATGCCAAAATCACCCCCCAGGACAGGTACACTCCCTGAAATCATCATGATTCCGTGGATGGCATGCACAAACAGGTCCTTTTCCACTTCCATGGATGAGTTCAGGCAACTGTTACACACATGCCCAAAACCCTCCGTTTTGGGTGTGCCTTGGACGGAAAAAAAAACCGGCCCAAACCGGCCTGCTCGACTGAGGAGAAGTCCCAGGGCGCCATCCTGGGCGGCCTGGGGCCATCCCACATGCACCGCGCCGCCCGGCGCTACCGCCAACCCCGCCTCGGCGGTTAGAACCACCCCCCCCCACGGGCGGTGGAGGTTGGGGGGTTGGGAACGTCGGTGGGACGGCAGAGTTGGAAGAGTCTGGTTGGTACTTCGCGGAGTCAGGCTTCCTTGGTGGGTCCCGGATGTGGACGTCCGGAGCAGAGGGGTGTCCACAGGTTGGAGAGCTGCTTGGTTTGGTAGAAGTGAGTTTTGGAACCATGTAAACTCTTAGATTTCACAAACCCCCCAAGCCTGAACGTATTTTACAATCCATGTTTCGTTGGGGTATTCATCGAGATTCTACATTATACACCAGATTGATTGCAATCCGGACGCTTCGTGGAATGGCAAGTGGCGACTGCAAGAATGAAGATGTATACCAAGCCTGTATTTCCATGGTCCACTCTCAGCAACAATGTTGATTGCAGGATGTGCTAGGTTTGCACATGGAGTCTCTAGAGACTGCATGTTAAACAGGTAAATCAATGTCCCAATGTCGAGCAATGTATTGGAATGATTTTGTGCCTTGTGGCTCACCCTATTCATGTCATGCTTGTGTACCATTTGTGTCGGCGTTGCTTCCACTTGTGATAGACTGCTTGAATAACGATACACGCGCGATTCTTTCTCCGGGAGACCGGCAGTTGTTGTACAAACGACTAACCCTGCCTAAGGTGGTAATCGATGTGGCTGCCAAGAAAGCAGCTTGGATGCAATTGTGCCAAGCAATTGCTTGCTGTTGACGTGATAAGATGAGTGTAATTGGGGGGTGACTCACGAGGATGATGCAATCTATCTAGGAAAAAGATCAATGGAGTTGGATAGCATTGTGGCTCCTTGAAACCGTTGCTTCCAATGGCTTAAAACTGGTGGCCAAAACTTTCAAGATCCGCCGGCAAAAAGGACACATCAGACTGCCGCTGCTGATTGGGGTCGATGCTGGTGTAATTTGAGGATTAATTAAGGATATCCCACTAAACTTTGAATAGGTGGACAAAAAATCTTGCCGTTAAACCAGAGTGTTTGCGATATAACCACAACACGTGGTTGGATCGATAGAATAGGCGGGCAAAAAAACACCCTTTCCTTTCCAAGCAGCAAAATGAGGGAGTCAGAGTTGCACGGCCTTTTCAAAGGGGCACTGTTCCAGCCTCAGCTGAGGTGAAGATTGAAGAAGTTGAAGGCAGGGGAGCTACGCTCGCGGTCTGTTCCGCCTCCGCTCGCTGTTCGCTCCCACACGGTGAGCCGTTCGCCTTCGGTGTGAGCGGTTCGCTTCGGACCGTGGACCTTCTGCTGTTCTGGTGCCGGTTGAACGGCTCCAAGGCGCCCGGGAGCACTGCACCGAGTTCCCCCGGATCCGCGACGACCGGGTGGGGAAGAAGGCGCCCTCACCCGCACGTCGTGACGCGCGCGGCGACCGAGACGGACGCGGCGCACCCGGACGGAGGTTCAGAGAGTCGGAGGTCCGGAGGTAGTGGGTGGTGCCTGAGGCCGAGGGAGCTGAGGATCCACAGAAAGGGGTGGTTCATGCTTTGTCCAGAAGGGGTGCGGTATTTTGATGTCGGGATCTTTCCGGACTTCTTGGAGGCCAAGGACCTCCTTTCGCTCGACTTTCTAAAGGTGGTGGGTTCCACTTCCCTTGCCTTCCAACCACCATGGATCTATACCGTCTTGATCGGACCACCATTGTTCTACTGTTTTTACTCAAGATTGGAGACTGCGAGAGCCCAGGTCAGCCATATTTGGGGTCTTGGATGGCTAGAGGGACCTTGTGTCGATGTGCTGAGGGGCCTTGTGTCCTTTTTCGCGTCCTCCGTCGTGGGGTGGGGCGGTTTGACGCCACGGGGAGCTGCGTGGACAAAAGGACTTGGACTTGGAGGGACGTTCACCCCCCTTTTTCAACAGTCGTTGAATGTACTCTGGAAAATATCAGACCATTAATGGGACAGACCTGGTGCTGTAGACAATGGTTCTTTGGGATAAAAAGGCCATTAAAACAATGGTTGGTCGAATCTTGGGGTGTAGGGCAATATGCCAGTCCCATTACTCGTTGTGGAAGGGCCTCTTTTTAACGATCCGGGACATCGTGTTCCTGGCCTTGCTTTTCAAGAAAGGACATACCCAGATGCTCCAAACAGGCCGACCGGTCCCTCAAAACCGTATAAGGGTACGGTCCCTACTGAACGGAGGGTCCAGGCTGAGCGTTTGGGTACCTGAAATCAGCGAAATCAGCTCCTCGTCAGGTGAGATATGGCTATTCCGGGATGCAGGTGGCCGAAGGCAGTTCCTGATCTCCAAGCGTTGATGGCAAGCCTTTTTGTTTGGATTGTCCGGCACATGATGGTTGGAGGGATCAGCGCCCTGGTAGTGGTGACCACAGGAAATGCGAACAAAGAGAAGCACCCAAAGATTCCGTACAGGCCCGCTCTTGACAGGGGTAGGACCTTCCATTTGAGATCCAGTTGATGGCCCGAATTCGTAGGAACCCACCAGGACTTCCCCGCCGCCAACCCGGACTAGCGACGGATCTCCTTGCGCGTCGCCGACATCAGGTCCAATTGACTTGGGGACCTCAGCAAAAAGCAGCCCGTTTTGCCAATGGCCACTCTCTTAAAATCGGACTCAAATATAAGTGATAAGGTTCTTAAAGCTAAACACACGGGCAAACCACTTGTATGTTCAACGGACAGATCAAGAACTCTATTTGATTCACGTCTTGCTCCTCGCTGCATTGACCTGAAGCATTGACCGGAAGACCTCTCCCAAAAAAAGAAAAGCACGAACGAAAGAGGTCCGGTCCCCCTTCTCTCGTTCTCCGGACCCGTTCGCGGCGTCGACCGACCGCTCCGACCGATGTTCGACGGCAGGCGACTTCGACTTCCGTGGTCTCCTCAAATGGGACTTCGTGGAGCGGAAGCTCTGCGGCGCGTCTCGGCGCGGACGACCAAGGACCGAAGGTCCGAAGGACGCGCAAAAAGAGGGGAAAAGGGGCGACCGCGGAAGAGGGGATCCCCCGTCGTCCAAGAAGGCACCCACGGAGGTTGGGTGGTTAAAAAGGTACACCTATGACTCGGTCTACTCCTTTGAACTATCCACGTGAAGTCCGTGCTGGTGAGACTTCAGACACCCGAAGTATCCGGGGCCAGCCTCGGTCCATCACACCGGAGTGAAGAGTCGGTCCGGCTCCCATGCTGGGTCCAAGGACGTAGTATATACCAGCACCCGACGACCTACAGGTCACCAATGGTTCGACCTGTATTCGGGCCCTTCCCAACCCTCCATCCCTCGGAGACCTGTTGGTTTCGGTGCTGGTAGTGGATGATGACTCCCAGCTTCTGACGGGGGGCTTCTGACCAAATGAAAGTTCGAGGAAGGAACGCGGAACTTGGAACTTGGCTAAATCGTCTTGGAACTCAGTGTTGGTTGTTTCCTGAAAATGCACTCACTACCACCCTGAATCTGGCCAAGCTAGCAAAATCCCATCCCAAAGTCTCAGGTCATCAACTATCCGCAGGGTGTGGTGGGTGGAGAGCCCGTCTTCTTGCCCAAAGCCTCTGGCCAGGAGCCGGCTTCTTCGTGTCGCGCTTTCCCGCGTCGTGTTCCGGGTGTTTTTCCGCCTGTCGTGTCGGATGTGGGAGGCGTTATTCTTTCAGGCGAAACAGGCAATCCACTGTAGCTGGGAGTCCCAGTGGTTCCCGTTCGACCAAAACCGACCGGTCCACGATGCCGTTCCTTAATTATGATGGCCTGAATTGTTCCCATGTGATGATACGAGGCAAGCTTCATCCCCTCTGATTTCTTTCCTGTATGTCGCTTCCCCTACCCATACCGTGGATATCCATTGGACCACCTGGCACCGCACGAAGCGTAGGAAGAGTATGCCAAAAGGGTCGTCGAAGTGGACTCGGTCGACCCCGTTCGATCGGTGCGGCTCCTGTCAAACACCGTTCGTCCAGTGTCCAGGTTCACCGCTGAGGGCTGGTTGGGTCTCCAAACGGAGGCCGGGACAAAAGTGACACATCTTCCCCACGACGGATTCACCCAGGAGCCGGGAACAACAAAGATCATCCGCAAAACCCAGGTAAGATAAGATACCAGCATGGAGCGTGGTGGAGCGTGGTGGAGCGTGGAGCTTGACCAATCGATGAGGACGATGAGGGCTATATTGCCCTGCTCCTTTGGAATGAGAAGACCTCCGAATCCACCTTTGCGGTCTACGACGCGTCTTGGACGGACGACGAAACCGACGTCGGGCGGGCGTGAAACGGGTGGGGGGAGCGATGAGAGAGTATCAGTCTACCCCCCTTATGTAAGAAATGAGTATTTGCATGTCCGTTTTTCTGGAAGCATGCTCAATCCCCTGTAAATCGAGAAGGAAGCAAAAAAAAGGACAACCCCTGATGACTTTTGTGGAAAACCCTTGACATGGACCACTGTAGCCTTGTGCTACAGCATTGTCGTGCCACATAGTTTTCCAACTTGCACCAGGCATGAGACGATAACAAAAACGATAACACGGCGCAAGCCTAAAACACCTTTCCGTAGGCAGGCCACCACATGGGTGTAGTTGGAATGAAGTGTGCAAGGCCCACACACCACATGCATGTAGTGCACACACTAACAACAAAAGTGCTTTGGGGAAAGGTAGAGGGCGTCCGCCGAGGACAGGTGGACGGACCATGTGCGTTCGACTTCCTTTTGCCAGCGAAGGGGTTCCTGGAGTCGGGTCATCTGACCCCATTTCTTCGTTTTGGGAGTCCAAATCCAGATGAAACCTACAAGCTGCTTGCGTGGCCGGGGTCTCCAAACACCCACCCTACCCTGTCTTCATACCTTCTCCGAGCGTGGCCACCTCCCCATGTCGTTCTGGTGATTTTTCATGAGAAGTCTTGAAGCAAACAGACCAGTTCCAGACTGTTTCTCGGGAAAAAAAGAAACGGCAACAAGACCTACCCCTACCCAGGAGTTCCGTGGATCACCTAACCTTCAACGGTTTTGATGGATTTAGGGACACCTCACGGTATTTGTGCCGCTACCTGAGAGTCCACGGTGCTGTGAGCTGTCCGCGGTGCTTGCTTGGGAGATGCAAAAAGGGTGGAAGTTTCCGTTGAAAGCCATCCCCTACAAACCGGTGGTCCACCATTTGTAATAGCCTGAATTTCCGAAGAACCATTGTTGTACTAAGGGCTTTACACGACCCAAAACCCCATCACCAGGAGTCACAAAGAAGTGGGGTGGGGCTTAGTCTCATCCAGTGAGTGGATCATGGGCATCCCTATCTTCCAAGTTCGGCACCCCTTTGGAACAGCTAGGCACCCCTTTGGCTTTCAGGGCATCGATTTGGGGAAGCCGACGAAGCTCCGACGAGCTCCGCACTGGTCGGTCGGAATCGGCAGATTCTCGGGAAAGTACGAAGGAATGATCCCAAAAACAGGTACAGGTACCCCATCTTGAAAGAATGTTCCCTCTCAGGCACCACCCCAATCCGAACGGCCAAGACTCAACATGACACCTGTCCAATGGCTTCACCGCAGTGAAGCTCCGGTGCTTCGTTCGGCGTGCGACCACGCGAAGACGCCCCAAACGGCCTGGGCCCAGGGGCAGAGCTTCAGCGCTGTGCCGTTGTGCGAGTGGACGGTGCATCGCCGAGTGCCCTTGGGCTTCCATGCCGCGTGGATCACCGAAGCACAGTGCCGCGGCAGACCAGCAGACCGTCCGATCCGATCCGGGATCACCGGCGGTGCCCAATGGGCAATCGGTGGATTTGTGTTGGGAGCCTGTTGCTTTCGGCGGTTTGAAGAGAGAAGCCGTTTGAAAAAGGATCCTGGATCCACTTGGCGGATTTGGGGAGTGCCCCCGGACACAAGAACGAGTTCGTTCTTCAACCAGTCTGTTCCATGGATCGGGAGTCGTCTCACCTTCCAGGACTCTCAGGAGACGGAGACCGGACCACAGGTGGTGAACCTGCACGGACGAACGGAAAACCAGAGGGTCCTGGTGATGATCATGTCTTTTTGGAAAAAGGCGTTGCCCACTCCCCGAGGTTCCAGCAGCAGTGCCTTCGGCAGAACCTGGTTCCGGGCGGGGGAATGGAGACGTGTTGAACTTGCATGCTCAGGTGTTACGCCGAAGAAGAGAAGTAAACCATAAGCGAAACATGGTCTGAACCGTCTAAACCCAAACGTTCCGTGAGTGAACCTTTTCCAGTCCCTCCAAACGATTCGTTTCGAACCCCCGAAGACCTGAGCGGATTCCGGATCCATCTCAGCGTTCAGGTCCAGAGGGGCAAAGAAACCGGTCCAGCTCCGTTCACCGAGTTCCCAGGTCGACCTTGCGGGATTGTCCACGGTCCCATCAGACCCCTCGACTTTCGGGTCCGGTCCCTTCGCGTTTGAGCTGCTTGCGAAACCAGTCCCCGGCAACACCGACCCATTGAGTCGACATGGAAACACTTGACCCTGCCCTTACAAACGGCCGTTCACCCTGGCGGACCAGGGAAAGGGGAGCTCCAAAAGTCCGAACGGCCGTCGTGTTCGTCGAAAAGGAAACGGAAGGTGTCCAGCTGCTGTGTTCGATTGTTTGGAGTCGACTACCCAGTCGTTAGAGAACGACCTTAGGAGACTTGGGCAGGGACTCCAACAGGGGCAGTAAGACCTTGCAATCTTAGGGACTCAACAGGCTCCAAAATTGAGACTTGAGAGAAAGATTGAGGCTCCCTTCAAAGAATGATTTTGGAAACCTACAAAGGACATTGGTCCTTCTCTGGGTTGCTGCTATCCCAAAACATGGTTGGTCCACCTTTTGTCCAAACCTAGAGAACGGAAACAGTAGAACTCACCTCTACAAAAATACATGTTGATAACTTCCCCTGAGTTTGGGGTGCGCATGTTTGTTGTTGGAGCAGGAAAAGCACGTTCCCTACGCCCCCCAGGCTTGTACGAACGGTAGTGTAGCCAGTTTAGCCAGACAGGGATCCCGAACGCATCCAATTGCTTCAGGGAGTGAGTCATGACCATGGTAAACCTGCGGTTGGGATCTCTGCTTTGCCAAAGAAATCCATCAGAGACACGTCCACACTTTGGGGGAGAGGCCGGAAAAGGGGCCAGAAGACAAGGCAGGATAGCCTCTACTTCGGAGAGGAGCTCCTCTCCTCCCTTCTCTCAACAGGCGCCGTCGTTGGCGAGTCGCCTCGGTTCCCCTCACGCCATGCGAATCCACCGGGTAGGTCCTTTGAGTCGCTTTTGGCAGCCAAGCACCACGACCGCGACCCGAGGCTTCCCAAGTATTGATCGCTCGCAGGAGGGCGAGATGTGAGGGTTTCGGGTTGGCATCACTGCGCATCACTGTACCCATGGCATCCAGTGCCAATTCTGGATGTGGATGGGTTCGTTTTCGAGCTCGGAATCTAGATGGATGGCATAATACAAGCGCGTCATGGATGTAACGGCATGGAAGGAGCCGAATAGAAGGTTACCCTTCATCCAACAAACATGCAAGTGGAACATGGCCCCTTGGAAGACTGTCTTCCTCCACTAAAGGACCATTTTACACTTCCAAGATTGTTGGAGGGAGGGTGTATTTCGTGACCGAGAGATACTACTGTTGATGTTGTACGCAGGGAGTGCTTTACTCATCACTTCTGTCAGAGCACCTAACATGGAAGATTTCTTCCTATAAGACCTCGGGTGCCAAGTAGCATTTGAGAGCACATGTGGTATGTCAGGAGCGATCTAAAGTTCTTCATTCCTTTCATCAATGGAAGAGAAGAAAAGCGACACACTATGGGCAGATGGGCAGGTCGCTTCCGAAAAAAGACGCCACACCCAGCAGCTCACCCGGCTTCTTCAGTTGAACATTCTTGAAATGAGTAGGTTCGTGACTGACGGTAACCACAGTCATGTAGACTCTTGATGCTACAATAAAATCCCCCAAGCCAGAAGGGGCTTTGATTAATCAACAGTCTGCAGTCTGCATGGTCCAGTTCGGGCACTTGGAAGAAACAAGTGGAGATTGGTGGAGTCGCTGAAATGGGTCTTCCCCCTATCTGAGCAGAACACCAAACCGATTTCAGCAACTCCGACGGTTTTCTCCCGCCCTTTGGTGTGGCGGATCGCTGTTTTCACGCCGCTGAAGAGCAGGGGAAGTGAATGGCCGCCTCCCAAGTTGTGGCTGGGTAGTGGTTTTTGGATCAAAACAGCCATATGGGATGTGCACTCAAAATTGGATGTGAGCTAGACCAGCACTTGGAGATTGGCCCAGGGCCAGTTGCACACCCCCTTTAGTTTGTTGCCCAAGAAGTTTGTTAATGCTATGATCCATTTTGGAGTGACCAATGGTGACAGTAGACAGCCTTGTTCGGAATTGGATCAATGACGCTGGATGCCTTTTGGGTTAAGCCAGCCACCAAGCTGTGCCAGTGACCGACACGGTTGGACAGATCGATTTTCCAAACGGATTTGCTTCCAAATGGGTTTTGCTCATCGGGTCCAAGGATTCAGACATCCCGCCAAGTGATCACAGATCTTTGTTCGCCGATGTGCTGCAAATCCTTTCGGGTTCTGCGCGTTTTAAGTTCGTGGGGCCTTGTTGAACCGTGCAAAGCTCGGGCCCAACAACCCTGAAAACGAGCGTCATTTGGGCGGGCAAAGAAATCGCTGCCGCGAGTACTCAGCCATCGTGGCCAGAAATCCCCCCGGGCGTGGCCTCCCGTCAAGCCGGTTTGATCTCGCAGGATGCCCCGTTCGCCTCGACCCTTCGACCATGAACAAAGAATGCTTGTTCAAAGGTGGGTACCTGGCAGTACAAAATCATGAGTCAAATCATGGTTCTTCGGGATTCGGGCGATGAAATCAGGAACCAAATATCTAGCCGAACCATGAGATGGATCTCACAAAATGCGAAACTCCCCAGTTGACCCAAGGTACACTCCCTGATACACGTACTTAACGCTGATCTGCCTGAAAGTCTGGAATAGTCATTGGCTACGTGGCTGGCATGGCCCCCTGAAAAGACCATGTTCCTCTCAGACAGGGATGATTTGCCAGGAGCGTATTCCGCTGCAGCTCCCCTACTTCCAGCGGCTCTGGTGCTCCACAAAGGGACCAACCAAAAAGGGGATAGAACAACACTATGATCGGTTCTTCCAACATCTCCCCCTTCTGGGGCAGTCTTGGAAGTCCACACCGAGCCATCCACGCTGGTTTCTTGGGAAAAGAAGAAGGAAAACCCTTCCTTAATAGCACCCTGACTCACCTGACTCGGAACAAAAGTGAAATGGATAGAGACCTAGACCTATGGCAAGTGGTGACTTGTCGAGTCGAGTCGGGTGCTGCTATAGGTGAACATCTCAAAAGCGAAACCGACCAAAAAAGGGGTCGGTGGCATGTGACCATCGCCTTCTCCAAAAAAGAAAATATATAGCTCTGGTAGTGCACCTCGAGATGACCCCCTTTTCTGGTCGTTTCTGACAGTATATGTGCTTTTGGCCGGGTGCGAGAACGGGAAGGACCTTTCTCTTCTGTGGCTTTTGGATGACAGGAAAGCGCGACAGACCAGGGGATGAAACCTCAAGGTCACCTCCTCGATCGGTCTACGCCGTGACAAAAAAAACACCAAAGGGTGTTCGTCGGATGACCGAAGAACCATTGAATTCTTTTACGGATTTTTTACACAGGTAAGTCCCGAACTAGATCAGCTACTAGGAACAAGTGCATCGCTTCTAGTAACAAGTGCCTTACTAGTAGTAACAAGAAGCTATTAGAATTAAGTTTAAATTAATAGCTTCTTACTAGTAAGGCACTTGTTACTACTAGCGTGGCACTTGTTACTAGTAGTAACAAGGTTCGCTACTAGAAACAGGATCCACCAGGATCCACCAGGTCCCGAACTCGAATGGTCGAACCGAAGGACGTGAAGCACGTGGGATCAACAGTGTCTCTTACGGCTCTGACGCTGTGCGACTTTGTGCTCTATGTGAGCACCGTTTTGTGGCTAATGTGAGGGAAGATCTGGCAGGGTATAGGGAGGTCGAAGTCCAACAACGACGCGTCAAGTGCCGAGGTGGACACCATCCAATGTGAAGGCTGCCTGTGCCAAGCACGCGTGGGCACCAAGTCTACTTGGAACTTCTTAAGCACCCAAAGCAGTGGCGTTGTTCCTTTTGGAAAACCCAATCAAACGTCAGTTGGGGCTGCGAAAGCAAGGATAATCAGGATTCTACTTGAGGATTGCGAGATCAGCAGTTCTCAGGCCATTTGATGTGCCAATTCTGAGGCGTTTTGCAGGTACAAGGGGTGACTGACCTTGTTCTACAGAGTGTTGCTTCTAATACATTGATCAATTCAACCACGAACAGTTCGGAGTGTTCCTGAAATCCTCCCCTGCAGCTACACATTGCTTTGGGAAGGATCCACGCATATCGTATCGATGGGCACAAACTCGCATGAATCCGTTCAGAAATGAAAACCTTTGCCGGCTTCCTATACTTCTGGTGCCACCTCATCTCCAAAAATCCGTCATGTTCAGCTGAAATGTTGCACAGAAAAGGAAGGTCCAGGTATTACTAGCCCGGTGTCATGGAAGGGGTGTTCATTTTCTGCCAGTCATTGATGTATCGAAAAGTTCGCTTCGAACAACATCTATCTCCGGTGGCTGATCGCCTCGATCGGTTGAAGAGATGCGGTGTATTCGTGGTGAATTCCAACACCCTGTTTCAACACCATGTTTGTCCGGGTGTGTTTCCAACTTGTTGTGAACATATGCGAGGTGCTGCCCAGGCTGGTTGGATTGGGGTGGCTAAAAGCCATCAGAGCTGTTTTCTTCAGGAAGGTCTACCAGAAAAAAGGTTTACCAAAAAAAAACACTATTTGAGTCGTGAAAGTGGACAATTCTATAGACATTCCTATAAGAACCACTCTGATGAACAACGTTCATCTCAAACAAATTCGTTGGTTCTGCCACCACACTCCGAGCTCCGGGCGACTTGGCGGATCTCCATGCTTCACTCAGGAGGCGGCTTCTCCACTCTCGGGCGAAGAGAACAGTGAGGCGACCGGACGACTGAACGGTCGATGTCGAAGAAAGCCAACCATTGAGTGAGATCCGCTGCAAAAAGCCGAATTCTGAGGGGAGGAAATGCCCCCAGACATGGA